GAAACAATGCCAACTGGCAAAAAAAAAACTCAAATCTTTTGCATTGGAAATGAGTTTCCGTCGAAAGCGAGGGAAACTACCGCAAGTATCTGCAGGATGCAGCAGGCTTCCATTCGTAATCAGTTTATTATTTGCTGATGCTGCTAAAATAAAAATTTCCTCACAATTTGATTGCTCAATTCACAGCTGCGGAAACGGCCCACAGGGTCGCATCGATAATGTACATTAATATATATAATATATATATATATATGGTCGTATGTATATTGAAATAAATAATGCTCTCCTCCAAACACAAAGTAAATATGCTTACAAATAATCTACAAATTTGAGTATATTAAGTCTTGTATAATTTATTTGTGTGCCCGAGAGTTACTTTTTTGTGTATTATTACTCTACCCACTGAAAATTACATAAAAGCGGGTATATAAGCTTAAGTATGCTGATGAATTGATCAACAATATATATATGCATCGATCCATAAAAGATTAAGCTAGAGCGGAACAGCTTTATCTTTATCTCGAAAAATGTATTTCCAGAACTTCCAGAACTATCTCTTTAAGAAGTAGAACTAAAGACAATAAATTAGGTATATACAAGTAGAAAATGAACTAACTTTCTGGAATTCCACCGACAAATTTTAATAGCTGAGCCTACTTTTTGGGAGTACCCAAATTTTAGGTGGCGCTTTCCGTTTATCACACGAACATCAAGTTTTGATATCAAGATTTTGATAGCTCTCCTTTCTAAATGACTCTGCTTCCTGGAGCTCTTCGCTGGTCCCGCCTAGAGGGTATTTACAAGTCGTGCACTTTCCACTGGCGCGCACCTACTTGCTTATTTTTTTGCGCAGCTGCAATTTGCGCACACAAATCGTGATGATTATTATTATTACTATTATTATTATTGCAGTAGCTGCGTTGTTTGGTTGTCTACTGGCTGTGATACCTTATCAGCGCCCGAAAGGGGGAAAAAAACGCAGTGGAGACAACAAACAAACTAATAGATACAATTGAATTTGATTAAAAGCATCGCAATTTATGCGCGGAAATCAAGTGAAATACATGTAAAGTGGAAGAGGAAAACAACAGAAGGAAAAACTGCACAAAGAGACGCCGCACTTTAATCAGCGCCAGTTGCGAGATACACAGCTGCATCTGTTAAATAAACGAGCTGCAATCATAAGATACAGATACAGATACAGATACTGATACATGCGCAGATGTAGCTCAGTGCTCAATTTAAAGGTAAAAACAAATTACTGGAAAAGTTTTGATTCAATTCGAGACTTTAATTTTTATGATTTAGAGTAAAATAGTTCTAGCCCACATTTAAATAAACTAATATTCAATACTTATTATAAATGATGTTAGGTAAGCAGATTATTCACTTATGTTAAGCCATACAAGAGTTAATTTAACATTCTGCTGTTAACATCAGCATCGTAATTTCTGTAAACATTTCTCAATGTTAACGGAAGCTAACAGCAAGTAGATTGCAAAATGCTCTGAATGTTATATTGACTTATGTTAAGCCATTGAAGATCAACTTTAACAGGCAGCAATCATGTTAACAGCAGTAAAATAGCGTTAGGGCGAATTCCCTATAAATTCTTAACATTTAACCTCAAATATTGTTATATTAAAAAGTTTATAGGGTGGGTTGGCAAAATATGTGAGACTGATATTTTAACCTAAGTTTATAAAACCGCAGAGTACGTTTTATTAAGAAGGTTATTTTATTTAAGGCCATGTAGAGCCAGAGGCATATGCAGGATAAGTTTAAGCTTAAAACTTAAGCTGAACTCAGGAGCTGGAAACGAAACTTTAATTGATATGCTTAAGCTCCAACATGGAGCTGCGTTTGGTACTTGGCCAAGTGCTGTTGACCAGTCCAAAAGCAGGCAACAAAAACAACACATTAAGCCACTTGCTGTATGCATTCTTGACCAATGCAAACAGCCAAGTTGAAGTTGACTCTCTGACAGCCCTTGTGCCCTTTGTTTACTCTGACGGCCTGTCAGTGGCCAAGACGTAGGCACACAGACGGACAGACAGACAGACAGGCAGACAGAGAGACAGACAGACAGAGAGACAGACAGACAGAGAGACAGACAGTTGGACACGAGCAATGGACAGCAGTAGGCAGGACACGCGACACTTGATGTGCGGTTCGGTTGTGTGTGGACAACATTTCCACTGCAATATGCGTTCAAGTATTTGCCTAGGCATTTCCCATTTGCAAAATTTGTTAAACAAATTAACATTGCCAAGCATTTTCAAAGAAGAGTCAACCATAGGAAAAAGCCAAGTTAAGAACTCGGCTGGTAAGTAGAAAATCGAATTAAAAGTTAACTATGTTAACTGTTAACAGTATTATAGTGAGCTGTAAATTGAAGCACTTTTAAAAAGCTATATATTAGCCACGGTGCACTGTTACATGCAGCATGTTAAATGCAATTGCCTGGACTGTTATTATGTATGTGACTGTTATTTAAAGTATCCCAGTGGGATAATATTCGAGTGATGTTACAGCTGCTAAATTTAACATGAGTCAGCTATGGTGCGCTGTTGTCAGCATTATACCAGCTAAGGTTACTCTTATTAATTCTGCTTTGTTATTAACATGTATATGTTATGTTAGCACTCACGCACTGTTAACGCTTAAAGCACATCGATAACATGCTGTTAGTAGCATTTTTATATAATGTTAATTAGCTGTGCATATACCGTTTCTCTTACTGGTTGTTATAATAAAAATAAATACAACTAATATTAGTTTTCTAGCTCTTAATAAAACTATTTTTAGAACAACTCGTCAGCTATAAACACATTTATATAAAGTCAATAAAAGGCTACTCAAAATAGGCACAAGCTGATGCCTAAAAGTTATTAAGCGCTCTGCAAGTGTATTCAAATTGGCATTCCCAGTTAAGTAGCATGGGCGCATTACGCTGTGAAATGGATATGCATTGGAATCCATTCAAACTGGCCTGACCCTGTTCTGGTGCACCACTAAAAAAAGCTGGAGATGAACAAACCGGTTGTCAGCGGCAACAGCAAGAGGAGTCGAACCCGCTAACACTCTGCTACGCCCGATGCAGCATCAGGCCGAGAGACTCGTGCAACTTGCAGTTGCATTTGTGGCTTTCAGGTGCATGCGGGCCACACAAAATGGCTAAAAAGCTGACCAACAGCTACCGCAAATGACATTCGCCTCTGCTGCACAATCTGGTTTTCTGGATATCTTTCGGGTATTTTATACCCTGTAACCATTGAAAATGGATTAAAAAGGGTATGCTCGTTCTGTGCTTATGTATGGAACAGGCAGGCGGAGCAAACTTAAATTCTTAAAGAGCTTTAATTAATTTTTGCTATATAAACAACTATTTAAGCTCTTCGAAATTTTATAAAGACAGAACCATAATAGCACAAGTTATTCAAGAATCATTTCTTATTGCAGGAAGAAATATCACAGAAATAATTTTAGTTCATTTTTTTAAAGATAGATATCTGTTTTTGTGCACTCTCGACTTGGGGACTTGTTTTCTTGCAATTCTTTTTCAGCGCGTGATTCGCATTCCAACTAAAGTCCAAAATGAGGCCATTTAAATTTGTTGACTGATGTTTTTCGCCTTCAAAATTCACGGCCAAGTCACATAAGCCCGCCCATTGCCCCACCCCTGAATGTAAATGGACGCCTTTCATAGAAAATGTGAATCGGTGCATTTAACAGCGCGTACGTGCTGTAAATCTAGTCCAGGCTGCAAGCGCTGTTAAATTGATAAGCCCGTTAGCTTTGATAAGGCAGCCTCTTTAATTGGCATCAGTCTGATTGTATACACACCCACACACACACACACACACACACACACACAAACACACAGAGAGAGGCAGTCGTAAATATTTGCTGCTATTAATAAACATGTTGTTTAATTTGTTGCTTTCATTTGATGCACGTCGTTTGTTCAGTGGGCCACGCACTTAAACCAATTGACATTTTGTGCGCACAAACACACTCGTATACATATATATAATTTGAATTTTATTTTTGTTGCTTTTGCTGCACGCGAGAAAAATGCCCAACACAAATTCCAAATGATGTCATTTGCCAGTTGTTAACGCTTTAAATAACACATTGTACTACACTTATACAGAACAAAATTAGAGAAAAGACAAAAAGTAATTGCCTAATGCACCGCATTCCTTCACTAAATACACAACAATAAGTGTATAACCCAGAGTACTTTATTAAAAGGCATACGAAGCTTTGTTTAATGAACATAACATTGACATATAATCAATATATTGTCTTTGAATAGAAGGCGAAAAGTATTTATATTGCATTACATATATAACATGTATATATAGCATAACAGAAACTGTACAGAAAAATATAGCAACTCTTTCTGCTAGCGCAACATTCGCAAGTGAAAAGCTGTTAAATAACAGCAATGCATATGTGTTAAGTCGCAATCGTTTTGCTTAACATATTTAGGCAAATATTCAGCAATGTTACACTTTAACATATTCGCGCATGTTAACAGCAATTAAATTGAGTTGGGGCGAATTCGCGTTAAATACCTAACATAGTTATACAATTATTCAGCTACATTTAACATTCCTTTAATGTCTCTCTGCAATGTTAGTCATCGCCGAAAAGGCATTTTACTAAGTAGTTGATTTTCTACAGCTATTCAAGGCCAGGTAACAAACATTTCTGCTAGTTCGTTGCGCACAGGAAGCACCTGGGGGAAACGTAAAATGAAATGGCATATTAAGGATATGCCACAAGTGGCTGCGTCAGCTGAGGCGGAAACTCGAGGCTTCCGTGCTGGCACGCACACAAACAGGCATGGGTGTGTGAGTGTGTACCTGGCAACAGGTGTGCCTGGACTGGGTCTGGGCTGGGACTAAATGTTAGCTGATAAAACAAAACTGAAACTAAAATAAGCCAGCAACAACTGGCCATGTAATGCGCTATCAGCGACGTCGACTCACCTGATAATACGAATCCGACATGTTTTTGTGTAGTTGTAGTTGTTTTTGTCTCCGTTGAATCACTCGTTAAGCGCTGTTGTTGTTGTTGTTATTGCAGAGTTTAGTATATCAGTTTGTAGCTGTGTTGTCGCCCGTCAGAGTTGAGAGTCACACACACACACACACGCACACACATATACTAAACGCATACGCACGCACACAGACAGACGACCAACGCACGTCGCGTTCTTTCGTTATATTTCGTTTCGTTCGGTTTGTTTACTTTTGCTCCAAAAATTATGTATTTATACATATATGTATGCTGTTCACACTTGCAACACCTGATGCCAAAATAACTGTGCTTTTATAGCGAGCGAGCGAGCACTATCTCTCTCTCTCTATCTTTCTGCTCTTTGCTATCGATATTGAATAGAACTTTCGTTCAGTTATTATTATAATTCTAGTTGTTGTTGCTTTTGTTGTTGTTATGGTAACATTTCAAATGTGACGACAAAGCAAACACGCAAACAGGTGGCACGGCGAGAGAGAGAGAGCGAGAGCGAGATAGAGAGTGCCTGACTATTGTTGCTGAAAACAAAAAGCAGATGGCGGCTTATTGTTATTGCATATTATCCGCAAATATTATGCATATTTCGGGGGAAACAAATTCACACAGCTTCTAACAATAACAAAGCACACACAGCATGCGCAAACAGTTGTTGTTGCGTTTGTAATGGGGTTGGGAGGGAGGAGGTGCGCTTCCATAGAAATTAGCTTCAATTGACCATTTTGTGGATTTAATTGAAATTGTGTGTGTTGTGCTGTTGCTTTTTATTGATGCGGCTGCAACTGCCGCCGCTGCCGCTGCTGTTACTGCAAGCTATAAATAAGCAATAGCTTGTGGGCAAGCGGGGTGCAGCGCCATAATCGGCAAACGAAGGAAGAGCTGCAAGCGCAAGTGGCGGCAAAAAAAAAAAAGAAGCTGTTCGCGCAGCTAAATGGAATTATGCTGCTGCGCCCTGCTCGCTCCTTCGTTCGTTCCCGCGCGCACACACACACATACACATGCACATACACAGTGGGCACACGCAACGGTCCCAGTACCGGTTGCATTGTAATGGCGTCTAAATAATGAAGCACCTTGAAATAAATACACGGCCAAGATTGTTTAAACATTAATCGCAACGCACAAAAACAGCTTGGCGCACACATACGCATCGGCATATGCATATGTGCTTGATATCTTCCTCATCTTCTTTATCTTATACGAAATTTCACTCGTATTTGTACATTTTTTATATCGCTCTCGCTCACTCACTCACACATACACGTACGCTCGCACGCACACATGCATACAAATTGCGCTGCTCAGATCAAATTCTTTGCTGTCTGCGCTTGCTGCTGCTGCTGCTGTTGCTGCTGCTGCTGCGTTGTCGACATTTTGCTTCGTTTTCTTTTCTTGTTGTGCATGCTGAATGCAAAAAACAACAAAATTACTATTTATCACGTACACTTTGTATTCAAATCATAACGCTTGTTTTTAGTGTTTTACTTTTAATAGTTGCATGCAATAAAATAGACACTTCGTAGGGTTTTTTAAACGAAAATATGTGAAATGGTTAAAAACACAAAACGGCGACGACACGACGTTCGAGCATATAACCAGTGTGACCGCCAACACGAAATGCCCAAATTACCAACAGCGACTTGTACAAGAATTGCCCAAAAAATACTAGCTCGTAAAAATGGCGTAATCCGCGAACTAACTTTTGAAACAAATTTTTTATATATATAAATAATATAAATGTAAGTAATTATCAAATTAGTAAATCATTTTATAACGCTCCAGAAGAGTTAGTTTCCATTGCCATTTGAATTTCGCAATAGTTTGTTTTATCGAACAGGGCTGCATCTTAGAATATATTCGGCTGCTAGCGATGGCAAATTTTAGAGATCAGTTCGAAAACCTATTGCAGACTCAGGTTTGACTGCGACTTGTTAACTTAAAACCAGACGATATTTTAATAAGTATTTTTATTTATCAAAGGTTTTTAATTTTGAGCTAGACCGCTGGCTTCTTGGGCAGCGAACCGAAAGCTGATATGACGGTGCCCTTGGTGCCAGTCACGGTTGTGGTCAATGCAGGTAACGTTGCCTTTGCCGCCGGCTGGTCCCACTTCGATTTGCTGTAATAGAAACGCAATTGGAGAATATTTACAGTTAAAGATCAGGGCTAAACTTACCGCTTCTTGGCCTCCTCCTCCACTTTGCGCGCCAGCGCCGTCGCCTGCTCCACCTTGTCCATCTCCTTGCGATCCTTTTGCCGCTTGACCATCTCAGTTTTCTGCACAGCGGACAAGGCTTCGTAGTAGCTCTCCTCACCCCACTGCAGCGGATCGTAGATTTCTGGCGGATAATTGGTGCCGAATTCGTTGATGTCACAGAAACTAATCAGCTTCTCATAAATGCTGGGATTGCGAAACTCCTTGCGATCCTGAATAACGCGATTCATGTCCATATTGGTTTGCCGCATTTTCGTGTACATTTTCGTGATCTTGGCCACCAGCTCTGGTGGCGGCTGGCCCTTGGGCTCTGGCGGCAATTGAAACTTATATTTGGCGTATTTGGGATCCTTCTCGTAGCTCTCCGCCGAGCGATCGTCCGCATTGTATGTGTTGGAATCATCGTCGTCCAGCTGCATGGGCGTATCTTCCGGTTTTACGCTGTTTTTTTCCTTGCCATTTTCGTGCTGCTCACTTTCCAGTTCCGAGCTGGCACTGTCACTGGATGACTCCTCTTCGCTGGACTCCTGTGCGCGGTCATCCTCCTCGTCGGAGATCAACGTATCGTCCTGGTAGCTCACCAAGCGTCGCAGCTTCTTGGCGCGTTTCTTTTTCTTGTATTTCTTCTCGGGCTCCGGCTCCTGTTTGACGGGCGTAACTGGCGTTGGTGTGGCTGGTTTTGGTATAATTACCTGTAATTTATTTAAGTTGATTTAGTAATTGAATTAAACACAACTTTATATTTTACCTGTGACGCTGTGGAGTTTTGTGAATCCGGACTGGCGTCGCCTTCGTTTTCTGAGTCCGTGTACTGTGCTGTCAAACTGGCCAAGGCGGAATGGCTCATTGTATTATAATATTTAATTTTACCTATGCACCACTTTTTTAAACAATTTAATAATTATTGCAATTTGTTTTTCAATTTTCTCAACTTCATTCAAAATTGCCATTCACAGCGAAAGACAACACACATTTGTTTGGTAATTTGTTTTTTTTTTTTGTGACAGGTTGGCAGCACTGCTTTGAACAGCTGATTGAAACGTGCATACGAGCCTCTTTACGCAAAATGTCAGCCACATCATGATCTATAGTTTGCACAACACCTCAGTTTTAGGCTAATTTAAATAGCAGTTCTCAGCAACTATAGTTGAACGACAAGCCCTTAATTCTGAAAGTGAGCAGCATTTGATAGTTTACAGAAAGCAATGAATTTCGCAATTTATAGTGTATCAGTTTTCACGGTATAAAGTTCTCGCAATGATGCGCGTATAAACCTTGTGAGTTTCTGATTGTTGCTGTTGACGTTGCCAATTGAAAAAAAGATGAGCGCAGCACTGGAGGATCAGGATCGCATACAAAAGCGCGTCAATAAAATCCTTGAGACACGCCTGGAAACGGACAAGGACACGCTTGATGCGCTAAATGGACTCTCCAGCTTTTTCACAGAGAATACCCTGCAGAATCGTCGCAATCTGCGCAGCCAAATCGAACATCGCTCCGTTGGCATCAATGAAAATTTCCTAAAGGCCTTTCGTGAGGTGAAGCTCACATTGGATGCCGTGTGCACGGATCTGGACACGATGGCCACGTCGGTACAAACCATGAAGACGGATCTGGAAACATCCAAAGCGCTGACGAAGGATCTGATCGAAGAGACAAACAAAATGCAACAGGAGCGCGAGCGATTGGAGGTGCATCAACAAATAGCCCAGGCATTTTTGGCGCGCTTTCAGCTTAGCGTGCCGGAGCATCAGCTGCTCTACGGCACCGCCAAGGATGCGCCCATTGTGACCGAGTTCTTCAATGTGCTTGATCGCGTACAGTCCATACATTCCGATTGCCGGCTGCTCATGCAGTGCGGCTACCAGACGGCCGCCCTGGACATTATGGAGGAGATGACGCTGCATCAGGAGGGTGCACTCGAGCGTCTCTACCGCTGGACCCAGAACCATTGTCGCAATCTGGAGAACAATGAGATTGGGCCGCTCATTGTGGAGGCCATGAGTCGCCTGCAGGACAGGCCGGTGCTCTTCAAATACGTCATCGATGAGTATGCGATTGCGCGTCGCGCCGTGCTGGTGCGCCAGTTCATCGAGGCCCTCACCGAGGGTGGACTCGGCGGCAATCCGAAGCCCATTGAGCTGCATGCCCACGATCCCAAGCGCTATATTGGGGACATGTTCGCCTGGCTGCATCAGAGCATACCCAACGAGAAGGAGAACCTAACGCTGCTCTTCAAGAAGTGCGACAAACATGGTGAGATCAGATCCTCAATTCCCAGTTCTAGCGCATAAAGAGATGTTTGCTTTCAGATATTTCGGAGCAAATGCAAAAGGCGCTCAGCTACATAGCCGACGGTGTCTGTCATCCGCTTAAGGTGCGCGTGGAGACCATCTTGAGCTCGGAGCAGGACACCATCATATTGTTTACCATCTCGAATCTGTTGCGTTTCTATCAGCAAATCATGAAGCAGGTGGTGCAGGGCGGCAGCCTGGAGCAGTGCCTCATCGAGCTGCAGCAGAGCAGCGAGCAAATCTATTTAAATGCCCTGGCCGCCCAGGTGCGCAGCGTGCTCCAACGGCCAGCGGGCAGCAGTCTGGCACTGGAGCCACCGCAGCGCGACCTGGTGCCGCCGGCAAGCGTATCGCGCCTGCTCAATATACTGAAAGAGATCCTCTCCGTGGCGACCATGGTGGACGGTCGCCAGGCGGACATAACCAAAATTGTGACCTGTGTTATCGATCCGCTGCTGCAGTCGGTGCAGGAGAGCGCCGCCCATTTGCCGACCGTGGACATGGCCGTCTATTTGCTCAACTGCTTGTATCACATGCAGAGCACCTTGGCGGTGTTCGAGTACATGGATGAGCGCGTGGAGCGGCTGCAGGCACAGTCCGATGCACAGCTGGACACGCTCACCTCCGAGCAGGCCTCCTCGCTGGTGGCCAATCTCAATCTGGGCCCCATCTACACCATACTGCAGAGCAATCAGACCAAGATCGAGACCAACTTGCTGAAGATTTTCATGTCCAAAATGGACGCATTCCTGGAACTGCCCGATGTGCTGCTATTGCCGCAGGTGCAGCTAATCATGTCCAGCAGTCATCGCAGCACCGTGCAGCGTCGCGCCTTCAATGTCATTGTCGCCATCTACAAACAGATCTATGAGCGTGTACACGATCCGGCCAATGGCTTCGAGCAGCCCGACCTGCTGCTGCACAAAACGCCCGATCAAGTGGCACGCATATTGGCCACCTAATAACCTTTTGGACTCCCAGCTCATGCCTATTTATATATATATATATATACATATATTATTATATATGTTTACTGTACTTCATTTCTATTGTTATGCCTGTTGTCCCGCCTTTCGTATACCCTTACCCGTGTGTCATCCCACGTACAGTTAGCTACACACTGTAAGTACAGTATATATTCTCATAGTAGAACAAAGGCAAGTCAACTACAGTGAAACGAACCTTGTTATACCCTGCTACCTCTCTCCCTAAGTAATTGTTGTAAATTGAAACACTTGATGGATCTTTTAGTCTTGTTCATTTTAGGGAATGTGCTCTGTATATTTTTCGTAATTTTCCGCTAAATATTATTCAAGTGTATTTAAGCTTAGTTTGGCATTTCTTTGCATACCCTTCCATCGAGTATTACAATTTGTTCATGCAATATGTAACGCATAGACGAAGATATTACCTACCTCTTATATACATATATATATTCTTGATCAGTATATGGTATGCAAGCTTTACTATTCTTTTCAATTATCTGTAAAACCTGGTAAACCATATTTAGACAAGGGTATTTCATGTTCGGCGCGGCAAGTTAGTCGTGCTCCCAAGCTATTTGTTGTTTATTTTTTTTTCGCGCCTATTCAAAATGCACAATAGACTCTTTACGCTTATATATATATATATATATATATATATATATATATATACATATATATATTTATTTATATGTACTTAACAGACGCGGATGCGTCGCCCTCGTCTGCTTCTCGTCTTCTGTCAATTGTGCGCTTATCAAAACGAGAACCCTAGCAAAAAATATATAAATTAAAAAAAAAAAAAAGCGCTGCTTAAATTAGTTATAAATAAATAATTTATAGGAAAGGCAGAGCGCTGCCGAAAGTGCTCAAGTGTTGGCCTTGTTTATCGCCGCGATTTCTCACAAAAAAGTAACGCAAATCTTTTGAGCGCGTCATTAGTTAAAGAATTTGACGTCGTTTATCGCAGCAGAGGGGATCCGCCCCCGGCCCGCCCACGCCCCCACTCTTAACTAATTACACATGTTGCGGCCCAAAGTGCCTGCAGTGCGTCCGCAACTGGCCAAAAACTGAGACCATTTGTACCGGATCTCGTTTCGGTTTTATCTATGCCTAAGCACAAAGAATTCTGCAGTCGAGACCTTCTTATCGCGACGTGCGGAAGCTGTGCCGCTTCGTAAGTGCTTCGATATACATATAAAACAGAAACAATACTAAATTTAAAGTTTTATAATGCTAAACTAAGCGAAACTTAATGTTTAGATATACAATATGCGTGTGTGTGAGTGTGTGTGTGTTAGTTCAATCGATCTGTCCGCTTTAGGTAATTGTCACTGTGGCACGCTGAAAGAGTTCCAATGTGAGGCCGGCAAAGAAAGCGGGAAATGAGTTATTGGCCGCCAATTGCTGATCGATGGCCGGTTTCAGTGTCTGCGAATAGGGCGACTCGAGCAGTGCCAGGCAGTTGGACTCGTTCAAGCTAATGGACAGATAATCATCGGGACTTTCCGCATACATGCTCGAAATGCTGTTCATATAACAAAAATGCGCAATTAGTTTCGAGCCACTTCACAGAATATATATGTAACTCAATATACCCACCGATAATGACTATTGGCGCCCACGCGATCAATCCTGTAGCCCAAGAGCATGTAGCACACATCGCGAAACTCCTTGCTGGCCGCCTTGAAGCAATCCTTCATCTTTTTCATTTTGCCATTGGCCGATTCCAGTTCGGCGCGCAGCTGATTGAACTCCTTGAAGTTCATGGTCATGCCGCCGCCGGCGCTGCTGCTGCCGACGGTCTCATTGAAGCGAGCCTGCGTCTGCTCCTGGTCCTCCTCCAGCTTCTTGTTGCGACGCTTCAGGCGCTCAATCTGTAAGCAGAAAAGTTAACGCTTAGCTAAACGCAAATCGTCTCGAGCAATTAACACGCACCTCTGCCTGGAGTTTCTCGACGACATTTTTGGTAGCTTCGTAGGCATCCGCAGCGGGATTCTCGCTTAGATGCAGCACCTTGTAGTTGCCCATGTTGAAGTCGCCGCGCAGGCAACGATGCTCCATTTCCAGTTCGAGCTCATCCTTGCGCCGACGCAAACGTTCGTTCTCCATGCGCAGCGTGTCCAGTTCCCGTTTGACGCTATCGTAGCCGTTCTCGCTGATCGGCGGATCGTTGAGCGATTCCTGCTGACGCATCGATTGCATTTCGCGCTCCAGCGTCGAGCACATCTCCTTGTAGCCGGTCAGAGTGCGCTCCAGCACCTCGACGCGATAGCGCACCTGCATATCGTTGGTCATTTCGGCGGTGCTGGCATTTGTCATATTGAGATCCTTGTCGAAGTTCTCCAGCAGCTGCTTGTAGAAGTCGCGCTCCTTGCAGACAATCAACAGTTTGCGCTGCAAGCGCTCCCGGAAGCTTTTGTGGCGCTTCAGCACCACGTTCATGTCTTCAATGTTCTTCAGATAGACGGCGCACTTTTGCTCCAGCTCGCGCAGTGAGGACTGCAGCTGCTTGGAGTCGGAGTCAGCGCTGCCCTTCTCTGCCATGCGCACTATGTCATCCTGGAGCAGCTGCTCGATGCGCGTGCGCAGCGCCATGGGGCTGACCAGCGTATTGGGCAGGCAATGGTCCTGCGCCACTTTGACCCATTCCTTGAGCTCCTGCTCCACGTGCGTGAGCTTCACCTGCAGCGTGGCGGCCTCGGCGCGTGCGCCCTCCTCCCGATCCAGACGTGTCTTGTAGTCGTGCACCTGTTCCTCCAGCAACAGCTTGTCACCAATCAGAGAATTGAGCTGCTTGTTGTGTGCGCGCAGACGTTCCAGCTCCGACTGTAGCTCGGGCACGCTGAGCAGGCGAGCCTGGGATGTTTTGGTGATCTCCTTCCAGTCGGCATACGACTGTATCTCATATTCCAGCTCCTTGATGCGCGCATTGGCCGTCGCCAGGCTCTGCTGTTGCATTTCGTAGCTCATGTGCAGCTGCTCGTAGTTGGCAGCGGTCGCCTTGTACTCGTCATGGCGCTCACGTATGCGCTCCAGCTCGCTTTGTGTGGCCTCCAACTCCAGTTCGGCCCGCTCGCTGATTCTTTTGTACTCGCTCAGTTCGTTGTTGATGCAGTGCTGCACCTCGCGTGCATCCTCCTCCAGCTGCGTCTTCTCCTGCTCCGCCCGACTGAGCGCCGTCTCGTATTTAAGTTTTTGCTGTGCCATCTCCGCCATGGCGCGATTCGCCTCCTGGCGAGCGTTGTGCTCACGTTTGCGCACCACCTGCAGCTGTTTATCCTGCTCCAAGAGCTTGGCACTGGTGTAGTCGCATTGCTGCTTCAGTGCCGCCGCTTTGCTCTCGGCCAGCGCCAGGGCGCTGCGCTGTTCCTTCGCCTGCTGCGCCAGTTGATCCTGGAGCTGGCTGACTATTGCCTTGGACTCGATCAGCTCGGCGCGTAACTTGCGCGTCTGCCACGGTCCGACGGGATCATTAAAAGAGTTGTTCAGCGATGTGTTGCTGGCATTTAGGCTGCCGTTCGGTGAGCCATTGTCCAGGCTGTCTATACGTCGTTTCTTTGGCACTTTTTTTTTATAAAAACTTTTTAGTTTTCATTTTTTGCCAGCAAATTTGTCTTCTTCTTACCTGTCACAGAGTCTTCGCTAAACGACATGGAGAGCCGGTCGAAGCTGAGCTTTTTGGGCGCAGAATGTGTGATGCTATCATTGAAGCGCGCCATTATATTGTCCAAGCTACTTCGTATTTCCTCCATTTTATGTATTTACTTCAACTTCAATTGTTTTCAAGTTTGCCGTTTGTGTAAAAAATGTTGCTGAAAAAATGACCGACTGTGGTGGCAAGTCGATAAATATTCGATAGGCAACATCGAGTAATTGAATGGCAGCCTAACATAACGCAAAAGTAAAGTAAAATGCCGTATAACTCAACAAGTTGGCAGCACTGTTGTTGCAAATTGCGCCAAACTTAAAACATTCTATAGCATCCATTTGAATTCTTAAAACCAACTATGATATATATATATTCCCGTGCTTGTGAACAACCATTATGAGTAACTGCATCATTAGTTTCACGTAAAGCCTCTAAGAACGTAACACTTCAATCATTTTAAATAAGCTTGCACAAAAATAAAGTGATAAAATTTGCGCTTATGATTTATTTGACTTGGGCCTTCTCTCTGTGTGCATGCGTGTATGTGTGTGTGTGTGTGTGTGCGAACGTGTGCGTGCCGCTGCCTATGCCTCTGTTAGCCCATGAAAAATGAGCGCATTAAATTTTATGATATTGTTTGGGCCTGTCATCAACTTTGGTCCAAAGCTCACACACACACACACACACACACTGGACCTCCTTACCCCCAGCCCACCCTCGCTGCCTAACGCACGGACGACAAACAAGTAGCAAAGTTCAAAGTCAAACAATAACACTTTCCATAAACAAAAAACCCAGCACACACACACACACACACACACACACATGCTTGTATGTATAGCGCTCATATGAATTGGCTACAGGCAATTCTTTTACAGTTACCTGCGCCCAAAATTGACCAAAAATTTTCCATATTGAAACTTGCCAAAGAGAGAAACTTGCAAAAAAGTCGAAAGTCGAAATTGACCTGTGCCAAGCGCAACGCGAGCTGTCGACAGAGCAAACAAAAGAGAGTTGAGGCGCGCATTGAATAAATGTTCGTGTCTGCGTTTTGTTCAGGCAATTTTGTGCGCAGTTTATGCGTGCGTATATATGTATATATATGCGTAGATATATATGTGTGTGTGTGTTAGTATGGGTGTGCAGTGCGTGGGCTTAACTTTTCGCCCGTTGAGCACTTTATCAAAGCTTAGCACCTGACAATTTGCCATGAAACATGCGGACATTTTTTTTTTCTTGCCAGCGCTCTCTTAACATACGCACCAGAAATCAACACGCAATTGTATATGTGTGCTTGTGTGCGTGTGTGTGCGAGAGTGAGTAATGAAAATGCTATCAAGTGCTTTTCATTCTTGGCGTTCGCTTTTGTTTTTTTGTCCTCAGGCGCGCTTGCTGTCAGCTGTTGTTGTTGCTGCTGGCGTTGTTGTTGTGCCCATTGTGTGGAGCGTACTTCAATGTCACCGCTGCAGCTTAGTGGCCAAGACCATTGCCTTTGAGACGGGCAACTAATTAAATTAAATCCGATTAGCTGCCACCCGGCCACCTTGGCTAAATTGTATATCCTTATCGCTGCTCAAGTGCGTTTGATGCTGCCTTCAACAAATCTTGTTTGCTTAGATGCAAAAGGAGTTTCTTAACAGTTGCGCTTCCATTATGCAACTACTTAACATTTTATATTTTATTCTCTTATTTAAATCTAGACACATGTTGCGGCTAAGCTGCGCCTCGCCTTGCCTGTCTCTAGAATCAAGCCGTTCATTGAAAGAGCGTTAAGCTTCTCTTGCTGGGCTTATTTTTGAATTGCGCCAATGAGAGCGCAAAGCTGTTCTTGCTATGTTAACTTGCAGACATTTCTCTTAGATTTTTTTCTACTGCAACGCTGCATTGTTGGGTTTAAGCTGGGCTCTGATCCAATTAAAACAAATCGTTATAAGAGAGCACAAGCCGCCACTAAGATGCTCAGTCTAAGCATAAGGCCAAGCTTATTGGGGCTTTATTCTGCATTATTTTAATCATATTCTTCCTTTTCACTCTTGAAATAAATATACAGAGTATGTTAATTAGCAGTGCATATGCTCTGCAATCTGTTAATGTGCTGCTTAAGCTGGGCTTAAAACCAAATTAAGAGCGCGAAAATTCTCTTTATATTCAGTTTAACATTCTTATTAACATTGACAATTCACTAGTTATTAGAGTTAAGAGATAACTGACAGAAAAAGTGTTAATTTCGACGCCTTTAGGCATATTGCAACTGTTTACACTAAAATTTAACTATTTGTATATGTTGCCCACCTACCACATTATATTTGCTATCGCATTTACCGCATAAATTGCACTTATTAACGCCACATTGCTCCAGTGCCCCCAAAAGATACACACACCCACGCTTACACACACACACACACACACACACACTCACACAGACCGACACGCATTGCCATGCAACAGGCAGGACCTGTGAGTGTATGTGTGTGTTTGTTTTCGAGGGGAAGGTTCCTGCACGTATTTGCCAGGCGTCGGGTCGTAGAATTTCCGCTGACTCACAATCGCTGTTGGCCACAAATCTGCATAAATTTCCATCGTGACACAGAAACGCAACTTCAACTCGTTGGAATTTTCATGAGCCACGCCAAAGTCGCAGCACTCAAAGGCTTCAGCTGTCTGTCCGCTTTAGTTGCCATTCATTCCGCAGTTGCACTCCGGTATAGTCGCAGTTCCCCCAACTAACGGTAAGTGAGAACGTCGGGGTACACACACACACACACAGACACACACACATATTCTTTGCTCTTCTGACAGATGGTCAGAGAGCAGACGTCAGCGTATGATTGATTTCTGTGCTTATGGAACTGCTGGTAGAACGTATAAAGAGATAGTTGAAAAGTTGGCTTCAACTATCTCGATTTAAACAGGACTCACACAGACACACACAGACACACACACACACGTACACAAATGTGCGAGCATTTCAAATGCACCTGTTAACCATTTGGAAAATTTATGACTTCCTTCTTGGCACTAGGACCCCAGTCCACACACACGCTCTTGCCTCTGCCCGTGCTGCTGCTGCTGCTGCACATCCTCTATCCTTGTCTGGCTGGCATTGTGCGCCGGTTTTGCCTGCGTTTTGCTATTGTTTTTGCTTAACGGTGAATAACGATAAACGAGACCCACACACAAAGCGGAAGAGCCGCTTAGATGCTCACGAACGCCCACGTCCACAACGTGTTAAGCTGCCAAGTGCAAGGACATGCTCATGCTTACAAGCAGGCAATAAATAAAATCAACAATGGCTAATTGCAAGCACAGCCTTATACACACACAAACACACACACACAAACACACACACACAAACACAAACACTCGCACACAATCAAAGAGACACACGTGAATAAAACGCATTATGCATAAGGCAAGCTTCAAAGTGCCTTATTAACTACATCTACCGCATCTAGCACGACTAGTGTATGCCCTGTAATCGGCTTTAGCTGAGTCTTTAAGCAATAACAGTGTTAAACTTCCATTCGTTTAATATGAATTGCTCTTTTTTAAATAACCGCGCTACTGTTGCTTATTTACTCGCATAAAAAAACAATTATCAGTGTCTAATATTCATCAAGAAATTGCTTTCAATAAGCTCATCAATATACCCTTCAATCCAACTCAATAACGGCATATATTGAAAAAAAGCGCGGCTGAGGCTTTCACTTTCAAGCTAGCAGCGGCTAAGGCTGCTGCTAAGCCAGAGAGTGCGACAGTGTGGTGAGTTTGGTGCGTGAGAGCGAGTCGGGTGGCGCTCTCTGGGCACACATTCAAGGCAAGTTAATACGTTGCCGGCCCCGGCAGCAGCAGCAGCTGCTGTGTAAAATCTAATGCATGCCAACAGGCGCGCAAGAGGTGCGAAATTCACCAGCTTAAGAGAGAGCATCAAGCACTTATATCGATATATCGCATAAATCGATGCTTGTTTTGGCGCTTGGCTGTTGAACAAATTCAACAACTAATTTATGCAAACAGCCACAAAGTTAATTAAGGTTGTTTATTAATTAATGTGAGTGGCATGTTAACTTAAAAACTTGCAATACATTTGGCATGAGGCAGGCAACAAAACGGTTTGCAAATCAAAATCAATTTTTGAAAACGATGTCTATCGTTGTTTGTTTGTCTTCGGCTTGTGTTTATCGATGTTCGGATTTACTTTTCTGCTGTGCGCGCTCTTCCATGAATTTGTAGTTGAAATGGCCGCGACGCGACGAAGTGCTTGCAGTGCGTAGGCGGTTGTCGTAGACTGACGTCGTGGCCATAGCACGTGCTACGAGTGCGGCGCGTGCAACGGTGCCACCACCATCCCCAACACCAGCAGCAGCAGCAGTAATACCAACAACAGCAGCAGAGACAAACGACCGCAGGAGCAGCAGCTGAAACCTAAGCCAGCAGCAGCAACAACAACAGCAATGAATGAAGCAAAGCGAAAGACACAAATAACGGCACCTTAACCGAGAGAGAATAACGGAATATAGAAAAGCAACAGCACAAAGTTGATTTTGCATTTCTTAAATAAATTCGAATTGCAAGTAAGAATCAAGCCAAACGACAATAATAAGACATTAGCAAAAAGTGTGCGTATTTAAATGTGAGTGTGACAATAAATTAGTTTTAAGCATATCATTTGCACCTGGTTATTTGCACCTGTCGAAGACTATCCAATGAACGTTGACAATAAGCAACAATAAAAAACGAAATTTAAGAAGAAGACGAACATCAAAGTTAATTATCTTATTGATAACCAAATAGATGTAAATCACATATAGACATTTTACATGAATTGAATCGAATTGAATCGAATTGAATTGTATGTAAAGCCAACAACGTGTCGAAAAGAAGCGAACGTAAATGCCATTTACGCAAATAATACTAAACAAAGAATAAAGCAAAACAGCGCAGCGCCAAAAAGAAGGCAGCAGCAGCCGAAGCCCGCAAAACGCAAACAGGATACTTAAAATATCAAGGCAAATACATACAAAGCCACACACACACACGCACACTCAGGCAAGCAAAGCGTGTGTGTTTTTGTGCGTGTGTCTGTCTGCGGCCCGACAACTAAAAATATATTGTGCGCTTCATATTTTTGGACTCAACTTCAGTTGAGTTGCCCCTTTACAACTTTTTTGCTGGGCGCCGCTGCTTGGCTGCTTTTTGTAAGCAAGGCACGAAATAAATATATATACCAACAACAACAACAACAACTACAATAACTGAGGTGTATTTGGCCCCTGGCGCGACAGGCATAAAGCAAACAGAAACAGCCGCAGCAACAGCAATAGACTCTGCCCGTGTTAGATGCCAAATGCTTCAACTGAACAGAGATTGATGCTGCCAGTCAACGCACAAACAAAACAACAACAGCAACAGCCAGGACAAACGACAACCGCCGTGCTACATTCAAACAGCAATTGAGATATGTAAGTAAGAAAAAAAAAAAAAATAAAACATAAAAAACACAAGTGAAGAGCAGTAGAAAAACCTATAAAGATATGTGCCTGGCACAACACCTAAATGAACGGAAATTAAATATTGTATAGCATACTTTTTTGGGCTCCTAGGCTTTGGGTATCTGTATTTGTAGTGGAATAGAATGGAATGGAACATGCCTGTTGAGCAAACTATTTAACAGGCAATCTAGAAGCAATTAACTACAAGCTCATTAACTATAGCATACTTTAACAATTACCTACAAGCTCATTTTCTGTTGCATACTGTTTCGGCATTTTAGGGCTTGGGTAACTATATTTGTTGTGGAATAGAGTGCAATGAAACATGCCTGTTGAGCAAACTATTTAACAGGCAATCTATAAACAATTAACTCTTTCTATAGCATACTTTTTCGGGCGGTTATAAAATGGGCAATTTATAACTAATAACTGCAAACTACTTTTCTATAGCATACTTTTTCGGGCTGGCTTAAAATGGACAATTTATAACAGCTAGCTGTGATTGAAATATATATTTTTAGTGGAATATAGTGGAATGAAATTTTTTTTTTACTTTTTTTTAATGGTTTCATTAATTAAACAGTTGGAAAGGACCCTGTTGCATAGTCACTTATGCATAGTTTGCGTATGTTTAATTTATAGAAGCGCCAGATTTCTTAAAAACCCAATGTGTACAGCAAAATAAAGAAGTCCCCTTCATTATTATTCAATTTTTATTTTTAGTGCTAGTAAGAAAACAACTTAACTAAAACTTATCTAAATAATTGGCATGCAACTAATTCTAAATTGAAGTCTAACATATTAAAATTAACAAAAATTGCTCGGTTATATAAACCGATCTGACAGATCGATTGGATGAGACCTTCGCAGTCTCCTCCTCTTTCGGATTCCTCGATTTCCACGTCTCTTTAGAAGACGCCTCGCCAGCCCCTCATTAAGGCGATATAAATTCGCAATACATTTTCCATAGTATGCTTTTTGGGGCTCACAAAAATTAGGCAATATACACTTTCAGCCAAGTTGGCCATATTTATTTGTAAGTGGAACGTAGTGGAATGAAACAAGCATATGTAAAATATACGTAAAAGGGCCAGAAAAACAAATGAATTCAAGCGCCAAAGCTTAATGCATATTTTTACAGCATTTAAGTGTGAAATGATGTGTTGGCGCATTATTTGACTTAGGCACGAAGAAAATGCTAAGCTCACACAACAAACACACGCGCACAAATACACACACACACACACACACACACACACATATACACATGCACTCGCACACAGGGCCACAAAAAGACAACACAGAATCTGTAAACCCTGACAGAGTTGAAGTGGCAAACAAACAGGGCAGATACACACACACACACACGCACACACACAGAAGCAGAGCGCAAAATACAAATACAAATATACAAATACATAGATACATAGCATACACACACACACACAGACACGCACTAGCTGTACGTGTGACTTACAAGAAAAAACACTTATACGCCACGATGAACGTGAAACGGTCGCAAGTTTTATCAACTTGTGCTGGTTGCTCGGACGCCGCAAACTCAATTTGCCATTTAGGCTGGCTGGCAAAGGCACAAAAAAACACACGCACACATACAGCTACATAATATACCCAGGACGAAAATCGATTGTGTGATGCTGTAGCAAAAACAAAATAACTGCCATAAAGAGCTACCCCCTGGGGCCACAGCAAGCGTATTTTGTAAGCCGATTTCTGCAATTTCTGCCACACACACAGCAAACCCTTTGTGCGATTCATTTGCTTCTTTTTGGTATTTTGAGGGCACAAACCTTATCAATGCGCTGCATGCATTTCACAAAATTTGCATAGTTCATATAGCTAATTACCGTCTAATTAACGTTTTGTCTCCTCAAATGCAAAATCAATTTAGCAAGTCTGCTCGACGCCAGACAGTCGCTGCAGGCGCTCCAATTGTCAGAATTTTAGGTACAAAGTTCGTGAACTCGCCATTAATTCGTCGTAGTTTTCAGAGAATGTTGACTTGATGTCATTTAAATTTCCATGGAAGCTCTGACAATTTAATAGATGATGGAAATTTACTAATTCTTAACTAAACCTAATTTGTTGGGTAGCTATTTTGTTAGTTAGCTTTTTATACCCTGAACCCATTAAAAATGGGTATCGATCTAGCCATGTCTGAACGCAAGGATCTCAGAACCTATAAGAGCTAGAAACTTGAATATGTAGGTGCTTCTAGTGCCTGCGCAGATCGAGTTTGTTTCCGATAATCGATAACTTACTCCGTTTTCAAGCATCGATGTCGATATCCTGTTTTTTTGGGCAGTTTTGGTAAATATTAAGAGCTAGAGTCACCAATCTTGACATTTAGCTTCTAAGATAGAATATATATATATTCATTTGATGTTGGAAGAAGAGGATTCAGGGTAGTTTCCTAGTCGGGAGCTCCCGACTAGAACCTCTTACTAGTTTTTAGATGTTATTCTTAAATACAAAAATTAACATTGTTTGGGTGCTTTTGGCTTTCGTTCATTGATAAAGTGAAGTGAAATACTTACATAAAGTGAAAAAAGTCTATTCGCAATACCCCTTTAATAATACTTCGTTTGAATGAGAAATCAAATAAATATTCTTGGCACTGTGAGTCCTTTAAGGATGCTTCGGCACGCTTTATGAGGATTATATATTCAAAGTAGACGTTTTGTAGTGTGGCACATTTGAATTGCTTTCAGATTGCAAATGATAATTACACGTGGCTCATTAGCAACTGGCTGAAGTGAATCCGTTGCCAGGCAACTGTGAATTTTCGCTGAATTTGTAATTGTTTTTGGCATTTAATTAATTTGCAAAAGCTTTTGATGCGATTTTAATGAAATATAAAACCAGGGGCAACAAAGTAAAACTCTCTGCAGCGGGCGATAAGTTAGAACTAACTAAATGAAAGAAATCTACACACACACAGACACACACACAGGCATGCACAATAGCTGAATAACAAGACAATTTAATGCCAGTAAATTGCGCACTATGCCACATCAGTTGCAGCAGCAGCAGCAGCAACAGAGGCAGAGGCAGCAGCAGGAATGGCAGCAACAAATTCCAGTCTGCGGCTGGGTTCCGGAGCTCTAAAGCTGCACAAAACTTGAATGTCCTTGACGCAGCTGCAGCCTTTGGCACGGCCAAGCCGATTTGGCCAACTATTTGCCAGTCCGACTCCCTCTCTCTCTCTCTCTCTCTCTCTCTCTCTCTCTCTCTCTGTTTCTCTGACAGTCTGGCTGGCTGCTATCGCAGTTGCCGCAGACATAAGTCGGCCTCAATGCCAGAACGTGCATTGAAATGCGATTTGCGTTTGGCAAAATTGAAATCTAATTAAAATCTGAGGTGCGAATAATGAATGCAATTGCAATGCGCACCCGAAGACAATTTATGGCCCCAACTTGGCACAATATAAATTACGCGCCGGACAGCAAAGAGGGGCCCAGCCAGACTGGGACTCAGTAAATGGGGACTCATACGCGCCGTGGTACAACAACAACAACAACAACAACTGTGCACAAGTGGCAAAAGCGTTCAAGTACAAAAATCAATTTCCGTTGAAACAGTAGTTGTTACGCTTGAGTAAGGGCCGGGAAGGGGGTGTGGGGGTGTGGCAGAAAGGGAGCTGCAGCTGAATGAAATTGAAATGTGGCAAGAGGAATACAAGCGCTTAATGGTTAGCTGCATGTCTGGGCGACTAACTGATAAATGTAACCATATGACCGCACAAAAGACTCACTGACTCACTAACTGACTGACTGACTAACTGACTGTCAAGCTGACTGACTGTCAAACTGGCTGTCAACGGTTCAGCGCACACGCTTCTGCTGGGACAGCATCCTGGCGCTGTTAACTGACGAGCACGCGACTTGCCCAGAGCGACATCTATCAGGACATTTCGACATCCTGCCTGCTCCTATCTACGCACACACACACACACACACACACACACACACACACAAATAGAGCTGGCTTTCATTGTTCGTTCAGGCATCATAAACCGCTGCCACGTGCGGTCCAAACGAGCGACGGCGATGTCAAAAACAAAGCAGCGAGCTTCAGTTTGTCCATCTGCTACTCAGTCAGTCAGTCAGTCAGTTCGTCAGTGTGCCATTGCCGCCTTGACTAATGAAATGCCATCGCTGTCAACAGCATTGCTTCTGCTGCTGCTGCTGATCAAAATGTAAACTTAAAATGACAACAACGCGCACGAAATGATGGAAATGGAAATGATGTCTATGGACTGTTGATTTAAGGATTTCTATCAAAATTAAATAGAAAGTGCCAAGTAAGAGTAGAGCACTCGTTGGGAGTGCTCGACTAGGAGATACCCTGAACACAGCGCCCAGCGGACGTCTCCTGAGTCTTCCCTTTGTCCCACTTCCTGTTAAATGCATTCTGAATTAACTTCTGTGCTAATAGTCCGTTCTTTATATAATTTAAAAGGCAGATATATGGCATTCAAAAGTGTCCAAAAACGTTGGAGGAAGGACATCGACTCGGCTGAACAGCACATATGCATGTCCTTTGGGTTCAGGGTATCAGGTATAAGGTCAAGAAATGAATTTTAATACCAAACTTCACTCTGAAAAAGTTATTTTACTTTCATTTTGAAGAGCTAAAAATTGTTTAAATAGGAAAGATTATCTAACCTTAAAAGGCTTATATATATATATATTTCCTGATCAAACAAAGTAACATTTAAAAGATTTTAATTTCTTAGTAAAAGAATATGCCTAAAAGTCGAAGTGGCAAGCTTCTTTTTGGCACATCCTTTGAAGGACATCTACTAAGTATTTCTGCTTACATTTCGCTTAAATTCTCCTTTTAGTTTCGTGCATTTGATTAGTTTCCGCTTAACAAATAAATCAAATGTAATTGGCAAACTAATCAAATGCAAAATGACACGAATCTATGCAGATAATTTGCATCGG